CTTGTTTGAATACTATTGTCATTTAGAATTCTTTCTTTAATATTAAAATCCTTCTGATTAATTTGAACACCGGTTTTTTTTATGAAGAAACAGCTCTTGATTTTATTTCAATCAGTTCTACGAAGTTCAGAACAATTATTTACATAGATGCATGTCCTTGATACAAGTATTCAATGTTATACATGTACGCTCATACAAACAATTTCAAAGTCATACTGAAGGCAGACGATCTTTTTGAACTTTTGATGAATGTGATTGGGCAAAAAGAAATCAGTGTCATATATCACAACCATCAAGTAACAATTACATGCAGTCTTTTGATCACGATTGTCATCATACAACTATTAATCCATTCAAATCTAACATACAAATGATAAAGAGCAAGTAAAGCTTTTCTTTTTTTTTCTCTTATTAAAATCTCAATATATTCATATTGTTATGACAAATAAGTAAGTTATACAATTACATCAAAGTTATGACTTTTCTTCTTTTTTTTGCCGTTATGTTATTCTTAATTACTTAAGAGAATATCTATCGTTTCGCATCAGTTGGTCTTAGGATTGATTACAGTAACTAACGATTTTATTTTATTTAATCATATGACAACAAGCAACAGCTTGAATTCCTATTATGAATCTTTTTATCTGTCTGTCTGTCTGTCTCTATAACTTTTGCTTTTGTATAGTAATAGAATAAAGTCACTGATGATGTAATAATTTCTTTTTTTTTTCTTTTTCGAGTTTGCATAAAAATAAAAGAGAGTGACCAGATGGATGTAGTTCGTTATTCATGCATATATAGGACATAGACGTATTCATAGAATGTATATGTAAACATCTTCATTATACATTGTATAATCATTATCAATATTCGTATGGTTGACCAAATGGTACATGTTGACATGATCTTTCCAATTCATCCGAAACTGACAGACGCATACAGGTTCAGTATGTAACGACGATTGATGTAATTTCTTCGATGCCATTAGCCATTATACAAGGTTTGTCTTACTTTCTCGTTTCTCATATGTATAACCTCATCATATCATAAATAAATATGTAATGATCAAACCTTATCTCTAGGTCGAATTGGTAGTAAGTATGTAGAAACAAGAGTCTCATATTATATATGCATACATGCATTTCAAAGAGTAGTATTTTAGTATGAAACAAATAATGATATGACACTGCAAGAATCAGATTTTTAATATTTGATGGTAGATGAATATTGAAATAGGGACTTGTGTTAAAGAAAAATATAAAAAGAGAATGATTGAAGCTTGTTGACAGATGCTTGGAATAAAGAGTAAAAGAGAAGGAGGAGAACCGCCTTCAACAAAAATGAAAAGAAGTATTGATATGAATGTCGTTACATTATCTCGAGGTCAGTTCATATATTGATAGTTGTCTGGAGTAACTAAATTGTTTCATTTTGTCACCTTTTTTTTCCTCTTTCTTTTTCTTTTATTCAATAAAACATGTGCACGAAATCAGATATATATTGCAATATTTAATTGTCTTTTACTATTTCAATCAAAAAAACATTTCATTTTATTGTTATTCATGGTTAACAGTCTGCTTCTAGGCACATTTTTATGGATTTAAATTTCTTTTTTTCTTTCTCTTTTTTGAATATCAATGAGCAGGTGCTACATATTCTTGTTCTTGGGACCAATTGTGACATAAGAAAAGAAAAGAAGTAAGGACAACAAGTGTTTGTACTCAGAATTTACTTATAAGAATCACTTCGAGCTACATGCAACGTTTGCACAGTATGTATGCTCCTAAGTTTATTTGTACTTCTTTGATGTAATAATCATTTTCTATCATAAAAAGAAACCTTTTGACCATTCGATTTGTTTCTCTATAAAACAATATGTATTCATAATGAAACTTTTTTTTTATTCAGTATATGAAAAAAACCTACTGTGTAATATGTAATAATATTGAATGCTACATTTCTTTATATATATATAAATCTAACTAAATTAGTTTCATGTTATTTCTATTCATATACATATTTATATTTGTATAGTCCCATATCCTTTTATTTTCATCTGTCATAACAAAATAATATCAATAATACGTTATTGGGAAGGAAAAGCTTTTTTGTTTCCTCTTGGCCGAAGGTTACCAATACATTACTTTTATGACAATTTATTTGTCTTTAATCGAACGATCTCGGACATCTCCTATGACGTTTTGATGACAAATATAAAATGGGACGAGAGATAAAAGAAAGAACACAACGTTCATTTATATATGAATGTGCATGAATAAGCATTCTCGTCTCTACTTGATGAATATTGCACCTTTAAAACAATAACAATAAGTTTTACTCGAATAGTGATAGGTAAGAGGATGAAGGACAATGAATAAGCACGCACTGTACTATTGTTAGTTCAAATAAAAGAGAAAGAGAAAGAAACCATAATTTTCATATATATATATATATATGTACGAGACACACTCGAAAGCTTATATATATAGATATGAATTTCGCTTCTGTGATATAGTATGGCTTCGAATTTGACAATTGATACATTGTCAAGACTTGATATTTCATTCTTTCTACTTTTCTTTAGTTAGTTGAAAACAATTCTACAATGGGTAATTGTATTGGCAAAAAATCTGATACACAAAATAAACATCGTAGACATACTTCTTCAATAGTTTCTATTGGCAAATTACATTTTAATAATCAATTAAAAACAACATCAATTCTACCGTCATCATCGGAGCAAACTTCTAATCATCTTTCTCATTTATCCAATGTAAAAGATTCAGATATTTTATTTAATAATAACGATGAAAGTGAAAAAAAAATCATTCAAAATCTATCACCTTTAACAACGATAACAAATGATCAGTTTTTATGTTCACATACATCACAAATATTATCGCCTGTTCAACTATCAATTCAATGTAAACCATTTAAATCGAACAATAATGTGATAGATTTTAGTGAGAATAATGTAGCACATCCAATTACATTGATAAAAAATGAACAGGATACAAATATGGGGCATTTATTTAACGAAGAAAAAGAAGTCAATAACAATACAAAAGTTCTGATCTTTACTCAAGAAATAATATCAGGTAAATCAAATAACGTTTTTATGATTAAATTAATTAATTTATATGATTATTTAAGAATCCACGAGTACATCACCTTCGCCAACACTTTCCGATTCTTCACTTTCATCGCTTTCTTGTAATACAACATCATTTTCTTCTCAAGATCAACTTATTCTTTCATCATCTTGCTCATCAACTGAAATTAATCCTGTTCTATCATCATATCAATTAATAAATCATAATAGATTTCATTCTATACCTTACAATGAGCAAATCTACTATGATAATCAATCTATAAATGAAATATTTTCAACTGTACTACCAGTATCATTTCCTCGTTGCAAGAATGATTTATTTCTAAGTGAATTTCATCAAAATACTATTTCTCATAATTGTAGAACACTTAGTTCTGTTATTGATGATGTTGTACAACAAGAATTTATTCGAATTCATCGACGAACAAAAACTGTACTAATCGAACATAAACAATTTGAATGTATAAATTTGAAGTAAGCAAATCCATCACCTTAACGATAATACATATTATATTTTCTAGAGATTTAAAAAAAATTGATACACCATCATTAATCTTTGATGAAGATAAAAAACTTGTTTATATAACAAAATATATTCATTGGAATGAACTTAAATCGATATCATACAATACTAAGAATGTACCGCATATATTATCATCTTGTGATCATTGTGTATCATTACTATCTGGTTCGAAACTTAATAATCGTCTACATCCATTTTTACTTGTTAATGCAACATATAATTTAGTTCAAATGTATTTTAATGAAATAAATAATAATAACCATATATTTGGATATATCTCACAAAAACATTCAAATCAAATTCGACAAACAATTATTAATAGTTCAAAATTAAATTATTCGTATGATCTTGATGTTGATTATATGTCATCCTATTTTGTTTTACATATTCAATCATGGCCACAAGAAATACGTTCAACTTATGAACAACGAAAACGTTTTTGGCCATTGAATATTGAAAATTTATTTAATAATACATGTTTTATTCGGTTCAATGGTAATGAACAAGAAATACCTACAAATGATAAATGTTTAAATTGTGAAACAATACTTTTATCACCATCAAATTCATCTTGGTCGTATACATATTCAGCGATAGAAGCACAACTTGTACATACTATGTCTGATGGACATATACGTTTTGCATCGATTTTATGGAATTATTTAAATGGAAAAACACAAGGACAATGTCCATTTGTAATTTTTAAACATACACTCTTTTATTTCTTTGAACAATATTCTTCTGATTCATTTATAACCAGTGATTTATTTAGTCATGTACATCATTTTATTGATTATCTTTTAAATCGTCTTGAAACAAAATCTATTCTGCATTATTTTAATTCAAATTATAATCTATATAATGAGAATATTTCAATGATACTAATGAATTTAATATCAATTAAAATAACTTATTTAGATTTAAAAAAATTTTCAGTATATCTTTTACCAAAATCATCATTATATCTTTATCATTTAATTTATCTAATTCAATTTCAAATGAATTTTTTACAATGTTATCGTTCATCAAAAACGAATTTAACTCAAACTATAATTGATACACATGAATATGCTATTCAACAATTATCATACGGTATTAAAATATATAAACAACAATTAGATTCTACAATAGCAATAAAATCACATCGTTCATTGACACTCGATTGTCTTTATCGATATCAAGAAGAAAATGTTCAAATAATACTTGATTATTTACCATTGTTACGTGAAAAAGAACCTTCATTACTTATTCATTCAATATGGTCTATATTCATACAATATTTTAATTCGTTATTTGATGACCTTTTTATTTCGTAGAAAGAAAACAATAACAACAACGTGTATATATATTTTTTTTCTTTTAATGTCAAGTCAATTCATCTTCATCAATATCGGAATCTTCGTCGACATAATTTTCATCGTCATCGTCATCATGATCAGTATCATTAGCATTATCATCATCATTGTTCGATTGTTTATTCGAAGAAACATTAAGTTTTGCAAAAGCTTCTTCACCAGACATTCCTTGTTTCATTAACCGATAGAATCTACCTAGACAAAGAAAAATGAGAATTGCTTTTGTTTTCTATTGAAATATTCTAATAAACATACGTCGTTGTCTCTCTCGAAGTAGTTTAATATCAGTTTCAAATTCAGCCTGTTCACGTTCTTCTTCAACAGCAGGAGCAGGTCGTCTAAAATAAACAATATTATCGTATTTTTTGTTTAATAAAATCATTATTTTACTCAATAGATGTGTCTTGACTTTGTTCACATTTACAACAAAGATTATCTTTAGCACCACAACCATCACAAATGATGTAATAAGCACGAATAACATTCTTTTGTTGACAACGAACACTAAGATAGAAGATAAAGTGTAACATTCAATATGAAAAAGCTGTTAGCGCAATCCCTGTTAAATTAAAATGCGAAACACCATGTAGTTGCTCTTGCTATTTACACTAAGGCGTCTTTCATAATCTGTCGTGAGTTCTCAGGATATTTGTCAGTCTTCGCTGATTCCCTGCTGACATGATCTAGGGTCTACATTGTTCAGCACGTACTCAATGGGCACTATGTTCTAACCTTAGTACGAATACCTATGGAATGGTCCTGGACAGGTCACTATGAATTTTTTGGCTTGGATTAACCGTCCAATAGCATGCTGACTAAGCTGTGACATACAGCTACCCTCGTGACTAATATATGGTTGGTTATTCAGTGTGTATCGGAAACTCAAGCGATTGAGGGCAAGAACTCTGTGTCAAGCTGTCCTTTTGTCAAGAACTACGACTATTAATAGTTGTAAGGAATATATAGGATCTATGAATCTACTGCTAGGCAGTACCCTATACTGAAAGGTAGTCGAAAGGCAAAAGTATTCTTCCTTCCTTCAGATGATGATTTGCAGGGTGTCTGTCGCAGTTTGAGTGGCGAGGGAGAGTGAATCCAAATTTCTACCCTATATCTTTCAACACTTCTTTTAGATTGTGTTTCATAAAATTCAATTGATTGTTACCATTTTTTTGGTTGTGTTAAGGGTTTATATTTTCTAAAATGTACTCTCCATTCAAGCAGTTGTTTACAATGTTCACATAAACCTTTGTGTTCAATTGAATTAATTTCTTTTGTTAATTTACTTGTATCATATAAATTATTTTTGAATGTTTTTGCATTTTGATATTTTTGTTTACGTGTTCTACCAGTATTACCTTTTTGACAAGACATCTGAAGAATAAAAAGGAAAACAAAAACAGACAGGAAAACAAATCAAATACATACAAAGACAAAAAAAACATGTTGATTAAAACAAAAAAAAATTAACAATCACTCTTATCATCATCTACAATATGATGCATTTGATGTAATAAGCGGCAATATTACTTTGTATTTAATACAATCGAATTTTGTGTATTTATAGTCTGTTTCTCTCTTGAAATAGTTTAATCTAAATTTACTAATTGTGTAACTCACTTTTTTTTACATTTGTATTACTACAATTGATAATCTAATTTTTTTTAAACAAGTTCTCACCGTNTTTTTGTTATTGGTATATGTGATGGATTTGACTGATGTGATATTGATGAAGAGTTTTCATCAATATAAATTGATTGAATATGTTGGCCAGGTATAAGTGCAAGACCAAGTGCACGAAATTCTTCTTGTTCACTTGGTGAACCAATATATTCATTACAATTGCCTAAGATAAGATTTTGATCACGATCGGTACAAAGTAATACACCAACAAGAACACGTCCATCAATTATTGAAACTCGCATTGGTTTATTAAGCCAATCATGAATTTGTTTTCGAGCTTGTTCAACTTGAACATCAGTGCCTTCTGATGTTAGAATTTCTTGTTGAATATCAGTCATCTGAAAGAAAAAATAAACAGATCATTTAACAAATTATTTATTTTAATCACTTTGTTTAGAAATAATTTCACGTTTTAAATTTGTATAAATCGCTTAGAAAAATGCATAATCAATTACAGTAAAAAAAAAAAAAAAAGAAAAGAAAATTTAAATTTTCATGTTTAAACATAAAAGGATATAATTGAACAGTAAAAAAAACGGTGAGAACTTGTTTAAAAAAAATTAGATTATCAATTGTAGTAATACAAATGTAAAAAAAAGTGAGTTACACAATTAGTAAATTTAGATTAAACTATTACAAGAGAGAAACAGACTATAAATACACAAAATTCGATTGTATTAAATACAAAGTAATATTGCCGCTTATTACATCAAATGCATCATATTGCACATTTTAAAGTTTTATCTTGTTTGTTTGAGCAAATATTAAATAAAATTAATGATAAAAATAAATCGATATTATCATTGTTCATCACCATTATTCAATCATTGATTGTTAGAATTAACACATTTACATTTTATTATGCATGATAGAGTTATCACAGCTTTGTTTACAATTGAGAATAGCAATATCTAAGACCTTAAATAATATTTTTAAAAAGAGTGTTTTGAAAAAAAAAAGTACTTATATATTTACCAGAACAATAAAGAATCGTCAATGCAGCTTTATAAAGAAAGAAAATTTATTCTTGTTTTAATTATCTAATATTAATAACCTACCAAGTGCTTGTACTTTTTCATCAACATTAGCAATTTTTGCTTTTATTTTTCTTTTAGCATTTTCATCTGTTAGATCACTATTATATTCAATAATCATTTCATCACGTATTCGATCTTGTAAATCAATTTCTTGTTGTAATCGAGAAATCTGAATGAAATGAAAAAAAAAAGAACTTGAAAAATAAACTTTCGGAGATAATTTAATAAACTTACTTCACTCTCAAATTTTTGCTTTCGTTCTTCAATTGTTAAGTCCGGAAATAATTCGGATCCAAATTCATTAGCTTTTGCATAAAGTGCTGTATGATCAACAGCTTTTTCATGAAGTAAATTTTCAAAGCTTTTCATATCGATTCTATCATCTGACAAACATTTCTGCAAACGAAAAATATGATTTTCTTTTTAAAATGAATATTTTTCTTATATACTGTTATAATATCTTGCAAATCATCTTCTGAAATATTTTCATGTGCTGCTAAGAAAACAAAAATAATAATTGAATTTTTAATACAATAAACTATAAAAAAATCAGTACTCAAATCAGATGGTGATCGTTTCTTTTTTGTTTCCAATGTTAACGAAAGAGGTATTCTTTTTGTTCTAAATTCAAATAATTTACTGTAAGCTAATGAAGCAGCATTAATCAATTTCGAAGATGTTGGAATTGGAAGATTTTTTACAAGTTGTTTTTCTGTATAAGATGATGAGTTATTATCTAATTGATCATTTGATAGAATTAATGTTGGTATTGAATTCAAATTTTTATTTATTAATGTACGAAATGATCGAGTTGATGTTGAATCAAATATAGAAAATGCAGCAGCAGCTTCTGTTGTTAATGAAGAATGAGATTTCGTTGTGGTTGTTTGATTCATATTTGAAGTTGAATCAATATTATCAGTTGATATAATTGAATGATTATCTTCAGATTCTTTAGATTTTAAATGAATAGATTCATGTGTACAAGTATGTTCATTATTTAATTTATTTTCACATTTTTTATGTATCGTCATCGAACAATTTCGACATTGCCGACCAGTTTTTGTCCAAATTTTTTTATTACAATAAGCACATAATGTTTCAACACTAAATGTATGATTTTCAAATAAATGATTTGTAGAACTAAATAAAAGAAATAAAAATAAATACTTTTTTTTTTAATGATTTTTCCTACTTCAATAAAGGTAATTTATGTTCTTCATTATTAGATATTGAGTGTTCTTGTTTTTGTTTATCATCTTTTTCAATTACAAGTTCTTTTTTTTCTTCTTGATTTAATTTTATTTCAATATCTGATTGATGTTTAAAATTAATTGTAACAAAACCATGAGCCATATTATCATCATAACCTCTATGTGTAATCAATTCAGCTAGTTTTTTACTATAATGAAATTTACAAAAAATAGAATTATTCAATTTAATTCATTAATGATACCTTTTAGAATTTGTTCGAATAAGTTTTCTATATGGAAATAATATATATATAATCTTTATTGATAAATTTAAATTTGGAGAATTAATCTTACAAATTAGGTTTTGATGAGAAAGCAGGCCGAAAATTGAGTGTCATTTCAGTTTCGCGTTTAAAACTCATATGAGCATCAAGTATAAGTTCAGAAAGAGCAACTGTAGCCTAAAAATAAATAAAAATAAAAATTTCATGCTTATCATAGCTTCATTTCTTTTTAGTTAAGAACGACATGAGAAAAGTAGAATAATCACGATCCGTGAAGAAGAAATAAATTTTTTCTTTCAATATTTTCGTTAGTAGATTTTTATATGGTTATGACGAATATTAACCAGAGCTATGATAGAATGAAGGAATTTTAGTTCCTCATCCTTATCTATCTATGTATGTTGTAACAATGAATATCTCGAATCATATATTAATTAATTCTTATACTTCGTGCGTATAACTTAAACACATTTAGAATATCTAGTGCTATTTTTAAGTGAAAATGATATCATTCTGATGAGTTATAAATTTTTTCGAAAGAAGACTTCAAAATTCAAAATTAATCTTCGATAACAAAATAGCTGCATTTCAGAAATTATTAAAAGGTAACACTTCAAATTCATACTGTAAATAGAGACGAGTCAGAGTTACAGTTTGATCGAAAGAAAAGTCTTCATTCTCTTGGATCATGAGTTCTTAACATTTTACAGCAAATGTAATCGAACGATTATATCTCATGAATCATCAAAGAAAAGAAGTTGCAACTTGTTGAATAATTGGCATTCGATGATAATAATAATTCTACGAATTTAAAACTTCCTAGCTATCACAGTAAAACAATGGTCCTACAAGAGTTAAAACACTTGCTCAGTATTTGATATTTCAATTTCGGAAGAATTAAATGTGACATTTTCATTACAACATGAACTTCAGTTCTTATTTGTCTTTTATAATACAAAGATATTCTCACCCTAATCTCCCGATGATACAGTCGGATACTTTTTGTTTATTATTCACAGTTAAATGTATTAATACAAAACTTTTTAATACATAGAAAACAAATGAATAAGTTTGATTTTCAAAGAAACTTCTTTCATATTTGAACATTATTTACTTACATAACCTAGTAATATAAGTTTCTTGCTAGCATGTGGTATGCCACAATTTAATGGTGGTTTACACCATAAGCAGATATTAAGATATTGTACATTTTGGCCTATTTGAAACTTGAATTTATTATTGAATTCAACATACTATATTGAAAAACAAGAGAAAAAATGACAATGAAGTTATTTTCTTTTTCTTCTATGATTATAAAGAACAAACCGGTTCTGCTTTTTGAGTAGGTGTTCGAACTCGAAATTCTGGCAAATAATCAGCATTCAACATGATTAAAGTGATATTATCCGACTGAGAATTCTTCTTTGAAATAAGTGAAAACAGAATTAAGAAATTATATTGTTTTCATTTACTTCTTGCTTATTTATTTTTGTTGTATTAGCATCGTTTTCTTGAATACAATTATTTGATTGATCAGCTTGTACTAAAAAAGAATAAGATTAAAACAAAAGTATATGAGAAGTAATTAAAAAAAAGCAGTAGCAAACATTTTGTTCGTTGTCGTTCTCTCATTGATGATTGTTCCATCTAAATATTCAAAATTTACTTAAGTTGATAATTTAAAAGATCCTACGGGATTTTGCGGCATATTTTCAATCAGAATATCCAGTTTTATAGAGCAATTCGTGACGCATCAAATGGTATATAACAAATCAAGTTTCATGGAAATTTTGATGCGATCAGAGTCCGTATACTGGTGATATTGGTTGAGGAATATATATATATTGTACTCATAGATATTGTGCTTCCTAAGGTAAACTAATGGAAATTTTGTTTTTAAATTCAATTCGATACAGTTATAGATGCTGTTCAATAGTTTTCATCGTTGCTTTCTTCAAATTTAAAAATGATCCACTTTCTTAAATTTGTGTCATTTCTTGACTATATGATATTTCCGTATGATCAGCTCTGTCTAACAGAACAAATGAGTACTAACATGAGACTTTCTCAAAAACTGCACACCATTGAGTTCTATATGTTTTACAGATAACATCTTTCGGAACAGCAAGAAATCATTTTCATTTCACAAGATTGTCCACCAGAATCGTTTATTTTCGTATATAAAGAGACTGGTACATCGATGATATGTTAACAATATTCAACGTTCCTACCTAAAATGTTCATGTATCAATAATTAGCACATTATTCCTGATGCATTGATATGAATAGCTCCATTATAAACGGAAAACAAGTTTTTGACCTTCAGATCCCTAGAGTGAGGTACAGAAATATCGTTGCATGAAAGAGGTTTGTTGTTTTTGTTATTTCTTCCTCAAATTTCTATTTCAAGTATCTAGATTTGATATATGCATGAAACTTTAAAAGAATCTATAAATATCTCATGTTCGTTTCAAAAATAAATTTTTTCATGTTCTCATATTCCGAGGGTTAAAAAAACTTTCCACTCATAAAAGAACCACTTATATCAACTCATCAGGAATGCTGTACTAATGATTGATGCATAAAAATTTTAAATATGGCAGTTAAATATTGTTAAAATATTGTCAATATACCAGTTCTTTCATATAGAAAAGTAAGTTATTCTGACGGTTCTATCATATAGTGAAGACATGCTCTAGATTTAAGAAAAGGGACCATTTTTAAGTTTGAAGAAAGCAACGAGGAAAACTATTGAACAGTACTTATAACTGTATCGAATTGAATTTAAAACTAAAATTTCCAATAGTTTATCTTAGAGATCACAATGTCTATAAGAACCATATATATTCCTCAACTACTATAGCCAGCATATAGATTCTTAACACATCAAAATTTGAAGGAAACTTGACTTTTTATATACCATTTGATGTACCACAAACTGCTCTACGAAACTAGATATCTTGGTTCAAGATAGATCACCAAGTCTGACAAGATTCTTTCCTACCGTATTCTCTATTGTATTGGTATCATCTATTTCAACTACACGTCGCACTTGAACACTATTCAGTAAAGGCATTCCAAGAACGATTTTGATTTTCTGTTGATGCCCATTAGTTGATTTAGATTTTAACAAACGATTTATTTGTTTCAATGTTTTTATATCTTGATCTTGAATTTGAAGTAGAAAAACATTTTTATCCTCTAATGCTGCTTTAAATTTTGTTATATCTTCGAGTTCATCCGGTATTGGATTAAATTCTTCAATTAAAAACTCAGTACGATTCATATAGGGTACTTCTTTTATATTTATTTTGTGTATTTGAGGTATAAATTCAATATCTTTTTTTATCCATTGATCACGGTTAATATATAAATAATCTTCACACATTTGTTCATTTATATTAATTGTTAAAAAAATTGATAATAACGAATCATTTTCTTTATTAAATAATTCGAATGGTATTGAAAGACGATCACAAGATTTAATTCCAATTTCAATTATACCGGCTATAAGATTATTATTATCCGTAGATGGAATTTCAATTGGTAATGATTGTTTTGATTTCGAAAAAAATGGTGGATAACGAATTTTATAACTTGGCCATACATTTTTACGTCGTATAGTACGAATTATTTGTTCACGTATTACTCTTGCTAATAAGGGAATTTCACGAGAATATAAATAAGCTTTAACTTCAAAATCAATTAATGAGTCATTTTGAAAGGCATATAACCAATGTGAAAATGGTTCACGTCGAAATTCTAAATGTAAACTTCCTTGAATACGATTAACTTTGATGTATAATTCACATTGATAACCAAATGCAAGTGTAATATCAAGTGTACAAGAAAATCCATTTTTATAAACACCATTAATTTTAGCTACAACTTCCTAAAGAATATTTATTTGAAAATTTAATATAAAATATTTCGAATAATAAATTTTATACTTTAATTAATTGACGTTCATCTCGTTCTTGTCGTTCAAAACGAATATTACTGAATATTGGACATTCTTTTCCGATAGAAAAACTTTTTATCTATAAATAGTATAGATAATTTTGAAAATAATTATTTATGTTCATATATACTGCAATATTTTGAAGAAATAATTTTCCTAATCGAGTTTCTTTTAATTCATCAAATTCGATATGTAATTTCTGCATAATATATCGTCTTAATTTCGATGTATCTTTTAGTTCTTGAAATAAAGAATTTAATATATAATTTATTGTATCAACTGTTACATTTTTTGCTTCATAATACTAAGATTAATAAATAAATATGATAAACATTTTAAGAAATGTAGACTTACTTGAGATAATGGATGAACGGTTTGATATTGTTCTTCTGCAAAAATGGTTTCTGGTGAATAAAATCCATAACGTAAAAATAAACATATGCATAAAGCAATTGTTGATGCACATCCAAGAAGATAACTGAGAAATATTACTAATACAAGCATTATTATTTCTTATCCATCTTCAACAATAGAATATGAGGAAATCAAAATTCTAAAAAACTTTTGATTCAGTTTTTTTAGACAATTTTCTTTATTATTATTTTCTTTTTTTAATTATTGTTGTTCGTTTGCTTGTATTCAAAATTCTTTTGTTTTATACACACACTTCGAAAGCGTCATACAAAACTATACAAACATGTGAGTGACAGATAAAGAAAGAAGGAAAGAAAGAAAGAAAGAGAAGAAAAAAAGAAAGAAAATAAAAACGCACACAATTAGTTAGTATCCACACCCCCCTAACATTTCAATTTTTTCATAATTCTAAACTATACACACACACACACACACATATGTTTTAGTTTTTTTAAGTTTGTTTTCTATTCAGAAGAAACTTTTCTCAAAAAAAGAAAACAAATGATAAATTATTTACAAAGAAATCGTCATGTTCTTTTATTTCAGAAACAAAAAGAAAAGAAAACCAAAAGGATCACTGCGAGAATAACGCAATAGAAAGAACAATAAATTAAAAGGAACAAACATAAAGATTGAAAAAGATGTGAGTGTGTGTATGTGTGTGCATATATATGTTTAGACAATCAAGTCAAACTAGGATTTTGTATAAGTAAAGAATTATCGTCAATAGTTGATGTTAAATGATGATTAAAATTTTGTGGAACATATGTAAATAATGATGGAAATGTTGTTCCGGACGGTGATGTATGAGTTCTCTGAGATGGATAATAGCTGTTCGTTGACTGAAATTCTATTGGTGCAGCAAGATCTATTGAATCAGTTGGGTAACTATTTGTTAAATAAATAGAACTATTAGTATTTGTTGTTTGTTGAGCAGGATATGGTCTTGGAATTCCAGGCATAAATGAATCTGTTGGTTGCCAAAGATTTGGTGGTTGTACTGTTTCAATTAAATGACGATATCGAAGGCCTATGAAATAAAAAATATCATCATTAAATTAATTTTTTTTCTTTTTTATTATGTTGTAGCCTTTAAATTAAAGTTAAGTTATAAGAAGCATTATGGACTCTCCCATAGCGAGCAAATATTTTTTTTTAAATTTGATTATATAAAGCATTTTTTTATTTGATTGAAATGTAGATTGTTTTATTTTTGTATATCTCTAGTTTTTATTTCTATATAGAAGAAGACAAAAGAAAAGAAAAAAAAGAAAAAAAGACAATTCGCTCATTTATGACTATTAAAAAATGTATTGTTAGTAATAATCATATTTTTTCGTCCTGGATTTTTTACTTGCTGATGGTCTACAAACAAAGATTAACTCATTATTAACTATTCTGATTTGTATTTAAATTAAATAAGATCGAAGGAAAAAAAATTTTGATTTTTTTTTTTCAAACTTACTTGGATCAAGATTAGGTGAACTATTCGAATTAAGATTTGACAATGGATTATTATTATTATTATTTGTAGTTGTTGCTGTTGTTGTTGTTGTTGTTGTTGGATGACTAACATTTGATGTTTCATCATAAACTCGTTTGAAAAAATTCGATTGTAATGCATTAAATGGTAACATACGCCGTTTTGGATCATATTCAAGCATTTGTTGAACAAGTTCTTTAAATTTAATATAATCTGATACGGAATGATTTGCCTCACCAGCCCGACGACTACCTGGACCGCCAATATCAACACCAAGAATATCATGTAATTTACGTGTACCAGGTGATCGATACTAAAAAAAAAACAATATTTTGAATAACTAGTGATCGGAAAGTTTTTAGACAAGATGTTTGTTCAATTTTAATTTGTTTGAAAGTATCAAAAGATATGTTTAATGGTCAGCCTGTAGGTTTTTGTTTACTTTATAAATTCCTCTTCGAATATGTTAAAAATTGTCGAAGTCAGTCGTTTTGTAGAGCAGATACGTCTCTACTAAATATGACATTGAACTAAGCTGTAGAGATAAAAATTGAGGTATTTTGCCGAAAGACAAAAAAAGCACTTCAAATAGTACATTTTGTAGGGTAGTTTCTGTTGAATAAAAATCTCAATTTTTAGTTTCGAATCGCGATAGTGAAAACACGAAAATTTTACATCCTAACTACTTTTTTGGGACTTTTTCGATGGTTATTTTACTAATTCCAAACAAAATTTCTACGTCTATATCCTAAAAGAGCATCCTAAATCATAGCTTTTGATAATTTCTAGAAGGTCAAAAGTGAACAAACATGTTATCTGAAAGAAATTCCTGTTTTTTTTTAAATATTTACCCTTCTTTCTTTACTCTTGCGTGGTATCCATGTATTATCAGGTAGACGATCAAAGAAACGTTTGGTTTTTGTTCCTTGTTCAAGTATATGAGTTGGTGGTATGCCGAGTACTTCGACAATTTTCATCATTTGATCAAACTAAAAAAGAAAACGATAAATATTTTAATCTTCAATGAAACGAAAATTTTCATCGTAAGAGTACTCTTATCTTATTACAGACTGTTAAAAAACACTCATTGTACGGAAAAATTCAGTTTAGAGAGTTAACGCACGATTGGTTTCTACATTGGTCTTACGAGGAAATTACACGAGCCGATACCCATCGTTTGAGCGTGTATTGAGTCTACAAGAAAGCCTCATTAAGACTAGGAACATGTTAAAAGAATTTGTCCCCATGCATCTATTGAGTCGAGTCAGGTTCGTTTTATTATTGAATTTTCGATTAACTGTTAAATATATCAATAAAGATAAAAAAACAGAATTCTGATGTGAAATTTCACACATAAATAGATCAAGTGATGTGTAGAATATCTTAAAAGTTTCAGCAGAAAAAAATGTTCCTTCATCGAGATACCGAATTTTCAAGTAAACTTAATATTTCTATCAGGTTTGGATCCGAAAATTTTGGACCCGACGTGCTCTAATCATCTGAGTAGTGTATAAGGTGTATCAGTCACCGAATCCCAAAAACCTGGAAAAAGTATCTCGTATCTTCTGAGTGACTATTCAATTCCAATTGAAAAACTTCATTGAGAGAATCAATTATTTTTTAGAAATTCAATATTGCGACAAAAGAATATTGTTTTCAGCTGAATATTTCAGAATGTATAGTACACATGAGACGACAAGTTATAGAATGCAGAAAGTAACAAAGAGCACAAAAGAGTGTTTACTGTTAAGAGTAAGACGATGTTCACTAGTAGAGATATTATTGTATTAATCAAACAACGAAGACTTATTCATTTATCTTATATAAATAATTTTATTCTAAAGAATTATCTTTGAATATTTGTACAACGATCAAATCATGTGAAATAAACACGAAAACCTTTCATTTTTTATCTTTTTTTTTTCAAAATATTAACTCAGATTAGTAGAATGTCACATATAAATCTCTATTGAATTCGTAATCAATCTTCTTTATATTTCAATACTAAAAATATCTATTTTTAAAATCCTTTGTCTTAAACATCCAAATACAGCAGATAATACTACAGGATCATTTTTCTTCATTCTACAAATTATGAAAGACTTCTCTGTTTACAAGAGACAAAAAATACGCAATAATACATCAAAGTCAAAAACGAATTTCATATTCTATAATAAAGTTATTTTCATAACAACATACTTCATTTGTACCACTAAATAATGGCTCGCCTGTATGCATCTCGACAAGAATACAGCCAAGACTCCACATATCAATTGCCATGTCATATGGAATACCAAGTAACACTTCTGGTGAGCGATAAAATCGACTTTGAATATATTGATAGAGCTAAATATATATTTGAAAAAAGAAATATTTTTTATCTTTTATGAAAGAAAAAGAAATAACATACACGTTGACCAATTTGACAAGAACTACCGAAATCAACAATTTTAATAGCAGATCGTTTTGGATTAACCAAAAGAATATTTTCAGGTTTCAGATCTAATAATGTGAAATTCAAAACAAATATTTTTTTTTCTTGTTTTTTTGTTTGTAAATAACATACCGCAATGAAGTATACTAAGTTCAGGTTGAGAAAGAAATAATAATGCAGATAGAAGTTGTAAAGCAAATTTTCGTGTTAAATTAAGTGATACACCACGAAAATTTGTATTTCGTAATAGATCATATAAGTTATAGGATAATAATTCAAATACAAGACATAAATGATTACGAAATGTAAAATGTCGTTTTAGTTTAACTTAAAAAGAATAAATCGATTTATCAAAAAATTATGAATATTAAGTAGAGGCAAAAGTTTTGAAACACAGTACTTTCTACTTTTCTCCTTAACGGTAATAACTAGAACAATACAGCGAAAAGATCTGATTAAGTGAAATTATTTTCTATTTGAAGGAATAATTCTCGAATTCTCATTAACAGGCTTGGGTAAAATATTTCCAAAAAACCAAACCAGTTTTTCTAATTTTATCAAAAACACATTGCAAATAAGTGCATCTAACAGAGAGAGAGAGAGAGAGAGAGAGAGAGTATTCCTCATATCAACAACCTATCTTCAGTGAACAACAACCATTTTGCAAAAAGCATGAAATCCATGGTAGAGTCCGAAAAGGCTCACCCACCCTTCAGCGAGATTTTCAAGGAAAAAAGTACATCTTTCAAAACTCTTGATAGGGAAGACAGAACTTCCTCGGTCTCCATCACTGTCTAAAATGCTGTTTTCTATTACTTTTGTGGATATTACCATAACATAACCTTTATTTACACATTGGTGCCTGTTATAGACTGAGTACATATTAGAATTTTTTTTCTCTGCCAGATGAACTTTTTGATAGCATTCGGAAAACTGGTTTTATAAGTCTTAGCGTTCCAGAGACCTTTTACCCAAATGTGTTAATGGGAATTTGAGAAGTACTTCTTCTGATAGAAAATTGTTTCAGCTACTCAAATCTTTTGTCTGATTTGTTTTGGTTGTTACTGTTAAGAAAAAAACAATCAAAAAATACTGTGTTTCGAAACTTTTTTCCTCCATTTTGATTCAAGCAAGAAAAACAAAATCCAACACATACCAATATAACCATTATTATCCATATCTTGCTGGTTCATTAATTCAAGAAGACGTACTTCAATTTGAGCTTGTGATAGAAATGGACGCTTATTTTTGATTATTTTTATAGCTACATATTCACCATCAGTATGATCAAATGCTTTGACAACCTGAATAAAAAATCTTGAATAACTTATAAAGAACTGAAATTTCGTTCGATCAGATAGAGAAAATCTTCATTTTTATCAGAAGTTTTGAAAAAAGAACCACACCCACACACACCTATCACTCAAAATGTCCGACTTTCTGCCAATCTTTTATAGCTTCGAGGTAACTTTGGACAGAAATCGAATTCTAAAATATTATTAGCCTTTCTCTAGCGAAATAAAAATAAGCTGACAATGCCGTTGTGAGACGAATATGACTGGGGCAGGACGGTCTGATGGTAGGTCATTTATTGTGAAAAAAGGCTGGGTCACGATGAATTTCGTCTTTGTCCTACGGTCATCACCACTGCTAGCACTTCAAGAACGAAGGCACTTTTTGTCAAATTTTTAGCCTAAAAAAAAATATCATAATTTGATGTAAATCTATCCGATTCGAGTAGATTCATCTAGAATGGCTCAATGATAACTCTGAAGACAATAAAATAAAGTTTCAACGAAGTCAGTATCATGAGAACTTCGACTGTTAGACTATAATTTATCCAGTCTAGACTATCATCCTTGTTGGAACGTCTCATTTAGATATCAATAAAGCTTGTCTTCCCTTAAAAAAAGGCCAATTTTCGTCATAAAAAAATGACATTGAGAAAGATGGCCCAAGGTCTGATCTATCATAAACGATATGATTTTTTATTTGGCACCTCCTTCTTTGCCAAAAGTTTTTGATGATTTCTGTCATCGTCTACTTGAAAAATATGTTGTTCTTGGAAAAAGCAGGAAATGTTTGGTACTTTTTGTTTTCTCTGTTTACATTTTTTCTGATAGCACATCCCAGAATTCTTGAAGGAGCTTCATTGTAGCCAATCGCTTTTTTTTACTATTGTATTTCCAGATCGATTTTTGAGTAAGGGGAGAGGGGAAGAGCGAAGTAAATTTCTAGTCTTAAAACAATCTTTTCATTGCTAGATATAAAGTCAAATAATTTTCAATGCTGAATGATTGATTGTTATTTAAGTTTTTCTCTATTGTATTTAAATTTTTATTTACCTGTCCAAAACTACCTTTACCAATTAAACAATCAATTGTATATCGTTCAAGCCATACTTCTCCTGGCCGCACGATATAATCATGATTTTCATCATCATATCCATCATTTAAGTTTCTTTTCTCCTTCTTGTGTAAACCATTTTCTTCGATCACTTGATTATTACTACGTTTTTTCTTTTTAGCATAGTATACCTGAATAAAACAAAAAAATCATATTCAAAAATAATTATGCATTAATACTTCATAAGTAGGATGATATACATCAGGCGATAGTTGATCTATTACTGATGGTAAGGTATTATATTGATAGTTATTCGAACTACTGTATGCAGAACTAGCATCAGTAAGACTACTCGCATTTGACGAAAGTTGATTGTAATGTGGATAAACACCATTCCAATGTAATGGGTCATAAGTAAATGGTATAACCCATTCATTGTAAGGTACTTGTACGTATTGCATGATGTTACTTTTTATACCTCTATCTCAAAAATACACTAGTATTATAAACAAAAGATAAAAAATGAAAAAAACGAAAGAGAGCGAGGCAAAAGAAAAACTAAACAGCATTAGTCGTTCGAATAAACAGAGTGTGTCGATGATGATAGTCAATAACAAACCTCCAACATCAAGGTTGATATTAATGAATTAAACGATACAAAAGAAAACCACAAAGAATAAAATATATACTTTAGTCAATTTCATAGGCGTCAAATTTTTGTACGATACTTATATTCATGCATCTCGTCTTTTTTAATGTCCATGCAGATGACCTGAATGATGATGTGTATTCAATGATTATTAATCGAGAAAAAAAAAACGTGTACGTATCGAGATATGATCGGTATTGTTGTGTATTCATTCTCTCTCTCTCTTTTTTGCCCACTATGCATCATCAACCAGAACGAAAAAAACTACTGTATGAAATATTCAATTCTGATATATATATATGATATGAATGTCTATATGATTGAGTAATAGAAAAAAAAGAAGAGAAAATCGTACTTCATTGATATGTTTGTATGTTTTAATAAGATCAACACTTAATTTACGAAGTGGAGCTTCAAGTGGATCGCGAAAAGTGGTTATTGTTGGCATCATCATGTAAATTATTTAAATATGGATAATATGTCATAATTAAAAGATAATTTCATTTTGATATTGTAGAACATATTCTGTAGGAAAAAGAAAAAAAAAAAAAATGATTCATTCAAATGAAAAAAATCAAATTTTACATACTACATAGATATATACGAAATAAGATGTTTGAGAGTTTTTGAAGGAGAATATGATAAAAAAATTAAAAAAACAAAACACAATTGACAAATGTACAAATAACAGTAAATATAGTCAAAATATGATGATGTAAAGTAACAAGTCCAATTGATACAATCTGAAATATGATCAATATGTATGTACAATTTACGCTTACTTTATTATAGTTTGACTCATTTATTGACGTTTATGCCTGACGCGCACGAGATCTTGGGATATGAAAGAGAGAGAGAGAGAGAGAGAGAGAGAGAAAAAAATGGAGCGAGAGAGAAAAAAATTCATGAAAGGAAGGAAAAAAATAGTGTTAGTGGTAACAATACAAAGAACTTCATTTTGACTGGATCTTACTCTCTCTTTACGGTCGCCATTCAGTCATATCATTTAAATGCCTCGGTAATGTAATAAACTGCTGTAGAAAAAAAAATTAAGTTTAAGTCAACAATATAATAAATATGCAAATTTATTTATAATGTATTTTATTTTTATAATTAAATAAATCGTATTTATATTTCATGTCTGTTAAATGCTATTGTACTAGGGCGACATCTTTAACTATGTATAAACGTATAAAGTCATAAGTAATTTCTTATTCCTTTTATTTTTTCTACTATTTTGAAAATATATTGTAGAATTTTAGTGTTAGTTTCAATGTGAAGTAGAACGAATGAAAATGAGAGACAGGAGCTTATTCTTCTGAAGGTATAGTGTTCTTCCGACTTCATTGAAATGCTTAATAAATGATGGAATATAAAGGGCAAGCGGTTGACGTAGCTTTAACATTTTGATTGATCACTAGTTTTAAAGTATTCTTATCATTCAAAGCTGAGTATCCTTGTCTATCTGACAACGAACCTAACAATAGATAAGGAGAATATTTTCTGTATATTATTTGTATTCAGACTTCATACAAAAGTCCCAAAATTGGGAAGAAGATATATAGGAAAATGTTTCACAGAGTTAGTATAAAATTTCAAAATAAATTTTCTCATCTTACTCGTTAAAAATGAACTATTTTCAATTATTGGAGAATTTTACACCTCTCTTCGATACTATTCTATAATTTCTTTAACTTTTACTATTCTAGCATAAGTGGATCGTATTTTGTCAGCTTTTTTTAAAGCTTTTTTATTTTTAGCATGGGGGTCCCGAGCGGGAACTGATCTCTGCCCAATGCTGGAAAATTTTCGTACTTTCTACCCATCAATCTCTATAATAAGGGTCCATCTCCTTATGTCGTAAATCTTGCTTTTTCGCTAGTGACCTTCCTAATCTTGATAGCCGTTAGATGGTCGTAATTTTCAGACAAACAACAAGATGATTTCACAACGGTATAGATCTATGGAGTGTGATAAATTCTAATAGATTATACCAAAAACAAAGTGTCGTGAATTGCGTACAGTAAAATTCAACGAACGAGCAAATTCTATTCACTGAAAGTTTAATCAAAAAAAGCACATAATTAACTTCACAATAGTAAAACTTCTCTATAAAGAAATTGAAGATATACACGAATGATAATGTCTGTTATTTAGTTTTCTTCTTAAACTCATGTTCTATAGGTTTTTTTTCTTTTTATTACTTATTGAATTTTGAAAAACTGAATCGGTCATCTGGTAAAACTATCATGTGCATCAGCGCAGCCTCGTATTACCTTCCATTTGCAATTCATAGATTAAAATTAATAAGCTTTAATTCAGTATGATTATATACTCGTATAGAACATATTGTGTATTACATGTAGTAAAAGAAAAGCTTAAGTATAAAATTATACTTTCGTATTGCCAAAAGAAAACAGTATGATATTGTTGTTGTAGGTTTATCAGCAATGACGATGATTTAATGATAATAGTCAATCTTTATAAATATATTGTTTACCTGTAATAGCAGGATGATTGCAATAATCTTTAATGTTTTCTTTTCTTGCATTATACTATTCATTGTTGTTAGCTATATCTAAACGTCTTTTTTGTAGTAAGTAATGAATGCGCTATCTCATTTAACGTTTACTGTTCGAGTAAGCATAACTAATACTTTTAGTATATAAATTTTTCCATCCTATATTATGAAGTCCTTGTTTAAATTTTTATCTACTGTAAATTTTTGCTTTATCTAATACTAAACGCATAGGTTAATGATTAAGCACACTAGTTAAAGGGTATAGGATGTCTTTAATAAAATTAGTCAACATCTGATTGTTGGTTCCGTTTACTGGTTTTTCTTCTTTTATCTTGTGATGTATAAATAACTGTAGAAAGTACTTAATCTCTAATAACATTCCTTAATTTGTGTAAAAAAGCTGCTAAAATTTCAAACAACTATATCTTACGGTGTTTTCTCCTATCATTTTTCGTTACGAATGAAATGTATATCAAAGACGTGCATCGTCCGCGCGTACGGCATGACCGCCTGTGCACGGGCAATCTATACTCTAGCAGCAAATATAACATAACTGATTTTTAGACGGCCGCGTTGTCGAAGAAATTTGTGGAGGGCAATTGTTTCGCACTCATATCTCATCTTATATATTCACCGGTCGGTCGCGCTTTATCATATCTGCCGTTTAACTTCGCTGCTCGAGCTTTCAAAAAAAAAATTGTATATCAAGCACAGAGCGTTAAGTGAAAGGTTTTAATCGTTGATAAACTTGCTGTGTGTAAGATGTTTGTTTTAGCACTTGATTTGATATGCATTTGTTAACTTTATAAATAAAATTGTAAACAATCTTGATTTAAAATTGTCCTGGTAGCTTAACTCAAAATTTAGGTGGATTTCATTATGAAGAGTATGATATTTAAATTTGCCTAAAACTCTTTTGTAAAAGTGTTAATTATAACATAAGTTATGATTGCGACGGTTGCCATACGGATAAGTTTCAATGTATGAATACTGCTATTTAATTGTATAAAATCAAGCTAATCATATTGTTTATATGTATAGCAGGCTATTATAAATCATTCATGAATAAATTCGTTTTCTTTCGTTTATTTATTGAAATATCTTCATATCGATGGTTATTACTTTTTTGAATTGATATGCTATCTCTTCTCCTCCTCGGTCTACCAAAAAAACAAACAAACAAAAACAAACTTTCTTCAAAACTATTCTCATATCCCACAGGTGCTTTTTAACATTTTAAGTAAGAACAAAAAAGAAAACAAAAACAAAATCGTTCATATCTAATTGCATAAGCAATACATAATAGAATCTGATAATTAATGAAAGACACAAGAAAAGAAGTAAAAAATGGATGACGTATATACATAAATGACTACTAGTCTAAATGACAACACTAATATACTGAGCGAAAGTGAATGACAAAGTAACAAAAAAAAAACAAAAACAAAAACAAAAGTTCTTATTAACATCGTTGATCTTCATTATTTTCACTGAGTAATGGAATTGAAGTGGATGATTTTGTTGAATTACTAATAGTATTGGCTTTCTTTATTTGAGCAGTCGATGGCAACTATTTATTTAAAAGAGAATAGAATTATAAAAATTTTTGTGAGATTTATTCATTTATACGAGCAAACAAAGAACAAATATTGCGATATCGCTTGGATTGAAGAAAACTATATAATAAGAATAACCAAAAATGAAACCGGTCTGAGTAGACTAGACCGCTCGGTTCTGAAATCCATATCAACACTGAATTAAAAAAGTGTCTTATTATTTCATTGGTGGATAGTGATATTTGACGTAGTCAATGTTCAACAAAGTTTCATTACACATACTTTATGAGATAATAAGAGCAAAAGAAAAATCAGTAAGACATGTCGAAAATGATTGGTCCAATGGTTCCATTTTTGTATCTTTCGCAATTACTGCAAATTATCGATTACAGTTAAGCGTGAGAAGTTACGGTTATTACTTAGGGCAATCCAAAAGTAGTGGCAGTAGTACTTTTATTCCTTATAAAAAGCTTTAAGAGACTTTCTTTGTATATAGGCTGATAGAGAAAAGAATGCTCTATTTTTCCATGCTATTTGATCATACTTCAACTAATATAATAATAATAAAGTTTCGATAAGATCTGTTTTGTTCGCATGTGTCGTGGTTACATGACTTGCTAGTGAGTGTTTTTTGAATAACTTTTGATGAATACATCATAGAAAAGTGCGGTTTTCACCGTTGGAAAGAGGAGATNTTTGGTCTATAGTGAATAGTACTTTTCTATTTCACGATACTAATATATAGATAATCAAGATATCGTCTTTTTTTCTTAAAAGTTGCATTGATTGATTACATTTAGTAAAGAGACAGAAGAGAGAAATGATCAAAGAAAAGGAGCAGTATGACTGTCACATAATAAACGAATGCTTTTGATGAAAGTGAAACGAATGGATACTGCAAAGAAAAAAATCAAAGAAGAATAGCCGCTCTTAGCAACAAATGACATGTGTTCATCCTTATTTTGATTGGCTGGAGGCTTATAAGCGAATTCGGAATAACCCTCATTGCTAACTATTGCATTGCTGGCGCGCCGCCTATGCGTAAATGTCTCATCATACATGTTGTACCGTCTCTCTGTCAATACACTAACAAGTATCTACAATTGTCACAAATAACCAACTCTTGTTGTACACTGTTCATGAAAACAATACTAAATTGCTCCCATACTGGCGATGATTTCGATGTCTTTTTTGGTTTTTGAATTGTAACTGATCTATTATTTTGTTTGATTAAAGTAGCAACATCATTTTTCTTGCACGACATATTCGATTTACTGTATTTTACTAACTTTTTTTAATACTGTTTAATGACAAACGACTCGCACGTAACTAATAATCAAATATATATTAAATATAAGGCAAACCATTTAACTGTTCCCATTGAATAATGAAAGAAGTTCAATATAACGAATAACCGAATAAATATTAAACAGAAAAACAAAACATATAATTGTTTTGATTGAATAATCAAATAAGCTAAACATATTCAAAAACTAAATGAATATTAAATGAAAGAGAAAACCTACTTTTGTTTTGGGTTGATGATATATAAGGAAGATGCAACTAATAATTGAATAAAAGTTGAATGGCAGACAAAATGTACGTGTTTTTTTAATTTTTAATGAACAAGCGACAGGTTACTGCTAATGAAATAGATGTTAAACAAAAGACAAAAAATGCAATTGTTTTAATGTATTTGTTTGTTCCCTCTGAACCGATTGGCTCGGAGCATTAGCCAACGATAATTAATTTATAATAAGACACGATTACGAATATCTTGGAAATGTGTAGTGCGTGTTGGTTATCGAATACAAAAAATGCAAAAGAAACGTGATCTATCTTTCAAGTTGAGAATTTCATTGTTAGTATGAAAATACGTTTCGACTGGGTCCGGGTCTGGTTCCGAAAAATTACAATGAGCGGGTCCGGGTCCGGATGCGGGTACGAAAAACATTATATAAACCAGGTTCGGGTCGGGAATCGAGTCCAGAAATGTTGGACCCGACGGACCCTAACACCCATCCACACCCCACACCCACACCCACCTATCCCCACGAACGCCCACACCAGGCCCTACGATATGCCGGGGGATGCCGGGGGCTAGCCCCCGACACTTTTTGAGCGTGTCTACGAAAATTTTCTTCGTATTTGTCTACGAGATTTTTAGTTTGTCTGCGAAAATTTTTAGTAGTACTTAAAATTCGGATTGGAACTGACCGGGCTGCCGCAGAGGTACTTCAGTACGCCAGGAAGACGTAGATGAAGACGTTTTTTTTGCTCTTCACTTTTGACTTTTGGGAAAATTGGGGTATTTATGAGTACTGTCTGCGAATATTTATTAGCCCCCGGCACTCTTGAAAACAATCGAGAGCCCTGGCCCATACCGCATCCACACCCATACCCCACACCCACACTCACACGTCCACACCCTCTAGAAGCTACAGAGATGTGGTTCCTAAGAAGGATGCTGGGTGTATCTTGGACAGTCCGAGAAAGCAATGAGTCGATAATCAGAAGAATGAAATGGAATAGATGTTTGTTGAATACCATCCGGTATAGGCAATTGAACTTCATCGGTCATGTAATCCGAAAAGGTAGCTTGGAAGATCAAGTATTGAGTGGGAAGATCTGTGGGAAGAAAGACAAAGGAAGAAAAAGAACGAAGTACCTCGAAAGCATGAACCTATGGATTGAAAAACAAGGATATGAGAAAATAGATTTTTTTCGCACAGTACAGGACTGGAGAAAATGGTGTATCACGGTAGCCAATGTCTGCAATAGATGAGGTACTTAACTGAACTGAACATGTCCTAACTCAGCCTCATGCGATTGGTGAAAATCTCAAGTCGCTAGCTATTGCCGTTTTCGAGATATTTATCCTGCGCCAATCCACACTTAATTCTGATGCGGATAATAGTCTTCTCTCAATTGGTATCCGCATTCACACCCATACCTAATGTGAAGCCCTGGAGAGTGTCTAAATTATGGATAAATGGCACGGAACACGTCGACGATTTGAAACTCTGCATTTGTATTCATTCAAAAGCACACTTATCTATTTCTTCGATTTGTCGAATTTTGACAAAGATTGATTCCTGAAAACCATGAGTTGAGATTGACAGATTGATTGGTATCGTATCAACATAAGTCGATCTGTTTTTTCGATTGTAATCTACCATTTCTCGAAATCAACATTAAGTCTTGATGTGTTTTTTCATATAAAAGGAGAGAGAAAGCGCAGAGCGATATCTATTGATAATCTATTATTACTGATTTGTCAGACTGAGTGGGTATTTGTAGATCTCATGGTGAATCTTCTGTTTCCACACATCACGACCACATTTGAAAGGTGTGAGTGTGTTCGTAATTAATATTATAATCACATTCACATTCTTAGATTGACAGTAACGTGTCTTTGACAATGATTTTGCAATGACATTGAATACTGATACGAGAGAAAAAAAGGAAACTACATTTGGAAAATAAAAAAGATATCTTTTAATCGTATCGAATTCAAACGATATCCGAACTGAATTTTCGGACTGTTTATTCCAATAACGAATAGCTGGCTTCAATAACACAAATTAAAACAAACTCGTTTACAAAAAAGTTCTACTATTTAGCACGCTGATACTGCGGTGGCCAAGTTAACTCTTTCACTCCTAACTCTTTAGCTGCTTTTAAAGGAAAATGTGGATCTCTCAGATACTCTCTTGCCATCAAGACTAAATCACCATATTCCTGTTCAATAATTTCATTTGCTTGCTTTGCTTCAACTATAAGTCCAACAGGTGCTGTCATTATTTTGGTTCCATACTTTGAGTTTTTAATTGTTTCACTAAATGGAACTTGATAACCAGGTTTCAATGGTACTGGAAGTTGTTGAGATGATGAGTTACCACCTGAGCTTGTATCAATAATATCGACGCCAAGTTCAATGAGCTGAGGGATTAGACGAAGAGTATCGTCCATTGTCCAACCTTCACTGCCGACCCATTCATCGCAAGATAAACGAACTGAAAGAGGTTTCGTTAAGGGCCATGCTTGACGAACGAGTGACGTGAGTTCGAGTAGAAGACGAACTCTATTTTCAAACGTGCCTCCTATGAAAACGGAGATAGGAAAACGGGTGTTATTTCAACTGTCGAAAATTATACACGGAATAAAAACAAACTACGTATCCGTTGGTATCGTGGTTTACATAAAAAATCTATTTTGGAAACTCACCATATTGATCTTTTCTTTTGTTTGACGTTGGACTGAGAAATTCTGTCAAAAGATAACCATGTGCAGCATGTATTTCTAAAACATCGAAACCGCATTTGTCTGATCTCTCGACACTTTTGATGAAATCCTGTTTAAATTGTTCAATTTGTTCAAGACTCATTTCCTTTGGAATGCAGTAGTTTTCAGCAAATGGCAAAGGACTTGGAGCCACAACTTCATCTGGCCATCCACCCTCTTCTTTTGTTGCATAAGCAGGTTGACTACGATCACCAGGCGTTTGATGGAAAGGAGCTTTAGTTGAAGCTTTACGTCCTGCATGAGCAAGTTGGATGCCGGCAGCACAGTTTTGAGAGTGAATGAACTGAACGATTCTAAGAGAAAGAAGGCAATCAAATTCGAGACCGATCGGTATATCTTTGAAATAGCAGTTGATTTTTTTGAAACTTGTTAAAAGTTCCTAAACATTCTTAGAATCTACTTTTTTGTTAAAAGTTCTGGATGATCTGAAGCAGTGGAACAATATAATACAGGGATGAATTTCACGGGAAAGGGACATTTCGCACCAACTTTTCATTACGATCTCCAGTAGCATATGTTCGTTACGTTCTTCGGACGTATGAAAAAGGACAGGGTGTTCGGAATTAAGTGGACGGGAGTTCGGAATGACAAAAATCAATCAAAATTAAAAAAGAACAGGATGTTCGTAATGAAAGTTGTTCAGAAGATCGTAACGAACAACGAATATTGATTTTCAGAGAAAAAAAAAGTGAAATTTGACCGGAGTTTGGCATGAAAATATTGGAAGATCGTAACAATAAAAACAGGATGTTGGAAACTGTGTTCATGTTTGCTGTTTTTTCAGACATGTTAAATAATTTACTAGTTTTTATTCTAAGATAGTACACAAACGACAGATGAGGATGTGAGGGTGAGGATGTGGAGTGCGAGCGTGGGTGAGGATCAGTAAATAGAAGACGTTACCCTCAACTACGTCCTCATACCCTCACTCGTCTAGTCAATAATTTTTGAACGTAGAGACTTTTAATTATATAGTACTTCATTTCCACAGAGATTAGTGATAACAATTATCAACATTATGAATAGATTAAAGCACAAAAGTCGCAAACATATTGTACAGTTATTATAGCGTTATGTGTAGAGACAGAGAAAGGTAGATGTTGTTTATATAATTACGAACCTATTGTATCAATCATTTTTGATTTTATAAAAAACAAGAAAGAAAAGTCTTTATGACCGTTGCGAATATCAGAATAAATCAGTTACGATCTCCTGGTAAACTGGATCATGAACATCCCGTCTTTTTCGTCCCGATTTTTAAACATTACTCCGCATATAGTAATGATCATTCCATTTCGAATTCCCAGTAACGCCTTTCCGATCCCCCTGTGTTTTCGATTACGATCTCCTGTTCAAAAAGGATTACGAACTCCCGTCGAATATTTGTTACGGCAAAAAGTCATTTCCAAACACCCGGACACATGTCCGGGGTTCGGAATGACTTGGTGCGAAATGTCCGTCACCCGAATTTCACACACTAAAACAATGTGTCGAATATGAATTTGTCTCGTTCTATGTGCTGTTTTTTCATTCACCGTATTGTTTTGCGCAGGCAACTAGATATAGATAACACGGCTGAACATTAATAACTTATATATTTTCATACTCTGCTTTTCCTAGATTATTTATTAGTCAAGAATGAAAATGCCGACTTCGATCGACGACGGAGAAAGGACAATCCTAAAGTGGTCTGATAGAGATCTGACCAACTCTAAGTCAGACAGATTACAAGATCTGACCTGCGAGAATTTTCAGACTATCAAAAATCTGAATTTCTTTTGAAAAAAAAGATCGTAAGAGGGAAAAATAAGGTTCTGCACCGCCCACCCCCGACTTTTTAGAATTTTGTAAATGCATCGTCTAACGTCCAAAAATTTTCTGAATGCACCCTCAATCTTTTTTTAAATTTCTCCTGCACCCTCCCTACCCCCACTTTTTTCTCTTTGCCACATCCCTGAATGGAAAATGTTTTAATAAAATATAATCATTTTTTTCTCCAATAAAAAGATGAAAAATACGCTGCATACTAGGCTAGAATCACGCTTTCAGAATGGGTCACATGTGTCGTACAAGAATGCATCTTGCCGTCCCTGGACAAAATGTGTCGCACTTTGCGACACATTTTATTTTAGTGTGTAGTGGAGAAAGATCGACTGATTCAGCATGATGTTCGTAAAAATCCACCAATGGCCTGAAATTCTTACCGCTTAATCATTTCCATTTGTTCGTCCATCCATAATCCAGCATCATACGGTGAGATTCTTCCATTCGGTTGTACAGCTGTTGCTTCTTGTATAACAAGAGCAGCGCCCCCCACAGCAAATTGACCCAAATGAACGAGATGCCAATCGTTAAGGAAACCATTTTGAGATGAATACATACACATAGGCGAAACAACCAGACGGTTTTTTAAAATGAGTGAGCGTACTTTTAATGGACGAAATAATGCTGGTAAAGTGTTAGTGTCCGTCTGCGGAAGAGTACCGACAGGTGGACATTTGTCTGTATAAGGCCATGGAAGAACGGAGTTTGTTGAAGAAGTCATTACAAAGACTAGTCTAAAAGTTTAAATTTCAATTTTCAAAGAAGTAATTAAAAACAATTGCTTTGTCATAATGAATAAAATCCTTTCAGCATCCGAACAAACCCGAAGACAACTCGTTACACGAGGTAGTCCGAAATAGAAAACGTTTTCAATGAAATTCCTAAAGCATTAGCGCTATTCACTTTAAGTGAAAAAGTAACATATTGCACTAATTAGACTTCGCTTCTCTTGCCGATAAATAGTGTTTTGAATTTCATTATTCTGAAATGCCACGCCATCTACAGTTTCCCTTTCTCACTAATGGAAAAGATGACTCATTCTTCTATTTATATGAGCGAAAAGTGAATAGATGAATAAAAGCCTCTTTCATTTCTATACTTTCTCGAAAAGATTTGAAGAAAACTAAAACATCTTTCTGAGTTTTAATAAAATAAATATTTACATCGATATCAGAAAATTTCAAGCACTCGCCACATGTCAGAAAAAGTTTGATCGTGTCGAGATCTAATGTAAATTCAAACTCACCTAGCAATCTTCACATTCGTTACTGAGCGCAGTTGACGAAAAAATTTCTCACTCATCATGTTGACTCTACTTTTTTTCCTCTTTTTGTTCCAATGTGAAGATATCACATGCACTCGCATTATGATGCATTCTTTGCCTTGCCTATAAGAGAAGGCCATTCACACAAAAAATGCTTTATGCCTATCTATCTGTCTACCCAACTAATCAGAAAGCATCACCGGTTCATCAATCGAAAATAAGAAACGTTGACCTCGAACACATGGATCTATGGTTTCAGCAGTAAATTATTTCCAAAAAATCAATCATTAGCCATTACGCTTAGTGTGACTGTTTTAGAGAGAGAAGATTCAGTCGATAATCGAAGTTCATTTGAAACAAACGCAATATCAATTTCTATTCAAGTTTCGTATGAAATTAGAACATATGTTACCTATATAGAAACTGATGACAGTATGTATACTCTTCGCTGAAAAACCACTTCGGGTATAGGTAGCTGTGGTAGTCTGAGTGTAGATGCTATCTGCTTTGACACCCACCCTCATACTAGATACAACACTGATAACCTACTACATTATAGTACAGTGAATTCTCTGTGACATGGTTTTCGAGAGATAGAAAAAGAAAAGAAAATAACCTCATTTTTTATTATTCATGTATTTCTCTATTTTATTCTTTAAGATCATCAATACTCTGAAAATCTACTGATTTCAAGGCAAAAGGCCACGAGAATGCTGTTAGTACCTGTAAATATATGGATTTAAAACGTTTCTATTTACAGTCTGTTAAAGTATGCTTCTTCATTCTTTTCTAATAACTGTAGCATATTGATAAGTCAAGAACTAAGTCATAATGTTGTAATGAGATCTTTTTTGAAGTTGAATAATTGCGATTTGAATTCATGAAAGAGACTTTAGATTAAATGTCTTTATTATTGTTATGCTCAGATTCATGTCCCTCAGGGGTACCATTCAGGTGGAGCATCTTATGTATTAAGTCGAGAATCATTACGACGCTTTTATGAAGCATGTAACGATCCAGCATCAAAGTATGCTAAAGATGGTGGTGCTGACGATATTGAAATAGTAATATGTCTACGTACAAAAGGTGTTTATCCAGGCAAGGCACTGGATAAAGAAAATCGTGAACTATTTCATCCACTTTCATTTACTCATTATTATCAGGGTTTCTTCCCTAATTGGCTTGTAAAACGTGCCTAACACCCATTACAATCTGTAAATCTTTGAAAAGACTTTTTTCTTTTTAACTACCGACGTATGCTTCATTGTAGCACTATAATTGTGGTAGTGATCAAACTATATCATTTCATTATACTTCTCCTGAACAACAATATCTTATGGATTTTCTACTATATAGAGCTCGTGTTTAATTCACCATCACGGAGCCCAATGATTCAATTATTTCAATGGAAAAATCTAATGATAAAAAAATTTGTTTGAAATTTATCATTTTTTTTGTAATAGAAAATAAGTTTTAGATATTTGAAATGTTTGTTTAAAAAAGTGATAGACGTCATTTTCACTATCATTGAGACCTCAATAAAGTATGCTTACTGATTACCACTTGATATAAATTAACACAAAAAAACTGATTTTCTCAACAAAAATAATTAGATCAACTGACAATAGACTGACTCGAAAAGTCGTTTAAGTAAGATGTCAATAATGCTTAAACTATATCCCGTAACATTTTTAGACGGGGGTGTGGTTGTATGATCGTAGCCATAATTGTCTTTCACCCACACCCTGGTTGAAAAGTTTCAGCTCAATCGATTGAGAACTGAAATAGTTTTGGCTATATTATTTCTCCTATTTTATTAGACTCCGCCTATCCAGTTTAAATTAGTTAAAAACAAGCATTGCTAACATAGTCGACATGCTTGAATGGCTATGCTTTCATGCACATTAGACCTTAGCCGATGAACAAAACTTGTTTTTCCATTATATCAGCTCAGTAGGTTCAGTATACCAGCGAGATAATTCACAAAGTTGTGACTTGCAAGATTCTGAACTATCAAATGAATCGAAAATGCATTGAAGCTTTGCCAATCGGCAGATTAATCTTTCAAAGATTTCCAAACATATTCCATAAAGACGCATTCACTTGCCTCATTTTGGACTCTTGAATGCAGAAAAAAACTTTGCGCTGTTCCTTTTTTTTTCTAAATTGATCATTTTTTTGTCGGCAAAGTCTCTTTTATTTTCATTGAATTCTTCGAATATTCTTTCGGTTCCAGTAACGTTGATTATTATCCATATTGAAATCAATGAATTGAACTGTATAATATATTGTGCTACGTGTTATTAAACTATTTGAAATAAATAACGTTTATTGACAATCGATTGACTTGAACCTAAACTGTATGATTACAGATTCTTTTGATTTCGAGATTTTCAATCAGTTCAAAGTCAAAAAGTCGAAAACATATTATGTTTTTAATGTAGAAATTCAAAAAGCGAAACGAATATAAGTCTAACAGAAATAAAAAAATAAAAATAAGAATCAACGGTAAAAAGAAAGTTGTACCATTTAAAAATAAATATGCTAGACCCAAAAGATTGTGGCTGAAAAAGTTTTCAACACAGAAAAAATAAATCAATGAATGTTTCGAGACTTTCACTCTAGAACATTAGCATACATTTTTCATTTATAATTCTCGAAATTTTTCCACTTCAAATTCTATTCGATGAATCATTCTGATTTCAATATCAGCTAGTTGATTTTTTCCTACAGTTGTATGTGCTTCTGCTTGTTGTCGATATTTTTGCACTATTAGTTCAACAAGTTTGCCAACGAGATCGTCGATATTACTATAATGTGTTTTTTCATCGACTAGACTAAGTTCATCTTCAATAGTATAGATTGACAGATTGATTGAATCTAAACGTTCTATTAATGGTTGAAGCGATGAGCTATTTCTTGTAAATAAACATATCGGCTTGTCGATAAGTTGATTGATGTTATCATTTGCTGAGTTATCGATTCTTAATAATGTTCCTTGTGGAAGAATAATTTGAAGAAAGTGTAAAATTTGTTCTACTGTTGAGTTCTTTGCTGTTGAAAGATCCATGAGGACACATTGAACATCGTCAACAAAAGCTATACAGAAACAATATCGAATAACAGTTACTACTTAATAGTTTCTAATATCTCATATAATAAAAACTGAAATATAAAAACCTATTATTGGGTTGATGCAAAATTAACGACCGTTTTTGTTAGCGATCATTTTATTCTCGCTTTCTCTTCTTTTCTTTTTGCTATTTGAAAGAATGTTTGTGATGTAGTGCCTCTTGCGTAGTCACTAAATCACAAACATTATTACAAATAGCAAAAAGAAAAGAAGAGAAAGCGAGAATATGATCGCTAACAAAAACGGTCGTTAATTTTGCATCAACCCAATATTTACAGATGCGTAAGTTGTAATCGGAAATTAAATACAATTTTAAAGCAAAACACGAGTTTTTCACTCGTCTAGCATTGAATATTGATAACTAACAATCGTATGAACTATATACAAATGGTTATATACTTTTGTTCGTTTATCATGATTGCGATTCTTTCATTTATCTATTTTTAAAATTTAATGAAACTAAGTGATTATTTATTTTCTATATAGTTCAAATTAATTTCTAACAGCGCTTTCTTCTCGTGTCCTTCCATTCAATACTTTCGGAGAACGACTCACATCAGAAAAATTTGCAACTTATGTGTCAGATAGATTGTGAGCGATAGATCAAATAGTTGCGTCACACTTCAGTCTCCGCAATGTTTTTTTTGTACCACGTATTGGGATTCACAGGATAAAAATCGAGCTGAAGGTGTATCTAGAAGAACTAGACACCATTTATTTGAACCGAGGAGGAGGGTGCCTCTTTTTGTGCTGCTGTCCTCAAATAAAAATATCAAAAGGCGGCTTGTATGATTAAAAAAAACACTTATTTTTCGATTAGGATGAGGTTTGTAAAATCTACTAAAAATCATCCGAGCAGCCGTTTTTGAAACAATTTCACATGTGAAACAAATTTCAGCTCTATCGGACGTAATATGTAGAATAAACGGAGAGGATTCTGCAATTTTTTGCCAAAAACACGAAACAAAATTAAATTTTAAGTGTTTTTTTTTCTATTGTTTATGGTTAGCCCCTTAGAATCAATGTCTCATACAGGTTATAGACTACAGTACATACAATACAAATGTTTTCAAAACTAAGGAAGCTCCAGTTCCAGTTTACAACTGGTATTAGTACATTTAAATGTTTAGCGTTTTAAAACTTTTTGGATAATTAATTTATGAGATAGTATGGTTGACAACTTACCTACTATCTCATTTGTTATTTCATCGTCTTTTAAATCGTGTGATTTTTTAATTAGACCGTTTCGGGCCTTGAAGCACAGTGAGACGCTCTTCGATTGGAGACTCCGGATAATCTGCGTCATTCGCATGGGTTTCCAGTGTTTCGGCAGTTACAAAATATTTACGTGCACTTTCGCTATCGTATACTGCCAGATATGAACGTCCCAAATGAATAAATTCCTTTGAAATATCACGAACAAGACAAATAAGCAGATCCGTTTCATGAACAAATATTTGCAAACAGCCTATATAGGACATAGCCCACTTTCAGTGCTCATTTATTCGAGCACAGAAAATATAGAAAGAATATACGCGCGGATAAGTTTTAGTAATAAAAGGAACTATTGCTTGGCCTAATGATCCTGAGGAGATTAAAATGATTCTCTTATTAGTTTCATATTGAATCAAAGCCAAAGCATCGTCTGTAGTCGAAACAAACTTGATCGGAGCGATTTCTTGTTCGAAACACAGTATAAGATTGTTAATAGAATCCGATGGTACACCATTAATCGGTTTAAGATTCTTTTGAAAATATTCTTTGAAAGATTTATATTCTCCATCAATTCCAATAAACTTATCAAGCCATATACAATAAATACCACTCTCACCGCTCATTATTACCAATAAAAATAAGTGCTATACGTTCTAAAATATACAATTCATAAGTAAACAACTTTGATTCAGTATCGTTTTGCTGTTCTCACAACAAAAAGCAAATCTATCGAAGTATAAAATTTTAATCTCAACAACTAATTAATAGGGATTACAAACTAAATCACATTGGGTCGTTGAAATATCTGCTCAGAAATATAATAATACCGAAAAAAAAGCATCTGACTCATTTTATTTCAAATTAATCATCATCCAACTGAACCTGGTTCTATCCGAATTAGATAATTCACACTAGTCTGAGCATATGATTTTGATCAATTAAGTAGCGACCGTGAACTTAACAGTTAGACTTGTCTGTATAAAACAAAATCAGACGTAACTACCGGGGACAAAATTAACGCGACACTTTACATTTTTATCTAAAATATAAATTTCAAGATCAGAAAAAGTTTTCTCGATTATATTTGAATAGCATGATTAAAGGTGTTTATAATACAAAAAAGTTTAATATAAAGATACAAATAGTTGATATATTTTCTGAGTCTGTGTAATACATGATTGCGTAAAATATTTACTATTAGATTAACGTGTATTTTGTTTGCCTCCTATTTCGTTGCTTGTTGATTTCTTTGACAATGTATAAACTAACCGAGAAACAACGTTGGTACATCATCGTTGAGTGGAAAAAAGGGTCTTTAAATGTCCCAGAAGTCGTACGCTCTTTCAATTGTCATCGTAGTGCAGTATATCGCGTTATTGATTATTATCGTCGACATAATGATGTGAATTATACTGATAGATGTAATGCTGGACGTCCACCTGCGCTCAATCCAACACAAATTGAACAACTTGATCGAATTATACAACAAAACAGATCAGCTACTGCCGCTGAATTACTATCATTAACACACTTTAACACTACTGAACGCACAATAAGACGTTATCGTTTAGCTCTTGGATATCGTCCTCGCAAGTCTGTTATAAAAGTCAAGATAAACAATTCAAATGAACATAAACGATATCAATTTGCTACAGCACATCATCATGCTGACATCAAAAAGTATATTTTTGAAGACGAATGCTATATAGGTTTAAGAAATACGCAACAGATCGTTTGGTGCAAACGAGGAGAACCAACACCGAAGAAGACAATTTCATCTTTACGAGCTCATATTAATTTAATTGGTCTCATTTGGTGGGATGGTTATGTCTTTTATCGATTTAATCAATGGTTAAATAGTGATTCATATTGCGAAACAGTTGATCTACTTTTATCTGAACATTTACCACTGTTAAATGGATACTTATATGTTTCTGATGGTATTAAATGGCACAGAAGTGCTCAGTTTAAACAATGGTGCCATGAATACGATATTGAATTATGTGAATGGCCAGGTTATAGCCCCGATTTCAATGCAATCGAGCTGGTCTGGAATATTATCAAGCAAAAAGTTAAGATGAAAAATCCAAAATCACAGAGAGAACTCGAGGATGCTGTCGATGAAGCTATAGATGGATTATCACTGAATGTTATTCAAGCATGCATCAGAAAGACTCAGAAAATATATCAACAATTTGTATCTTCATATTAAACTTTTTTGTATTATAAACACTTTTAATCGTGCTATTCAAATATAATCGAGAAAACTTTTTCTGATCTTGAAATTTATATTTTAGATAAAAATGTAAAGTGTCGCGTTAATTTTGTCCCCGGTAGTAAGATTAGTACATTACAAGATATTATGCTCTTTCAAGAACATTTGCGTATGATTTTTCGTCTGACCTTATAAGATTAGACTGACGATCTTGTAAAATCTTTTCATCTCATTGTTTGACCTGGATGCAAAATATTGAGGACATTGCTCTTCGTTAAAATTTATCATGTAACATTCGCTAGGCATGTTTTACAGTACTATACAAAATAATAACATGCATTGTTCATTTTGAATTATTCAGCTATTTTACATGATCGAAAAGTTTTCTTTTAAAAAACTACTATGCCAGTCTTATAGAGCAAATCCTTTTTCATTAGAATATGTATCTCTTCTTATTTAATTTCAACAGATTCAACATAGAGAAGAGGTTGGACAGAAATATGCATATTTTCGTTTGCATATAATTATAACATCACTTAGATTTTTGTTTTACATTTTGGTCAATTTTCATGCATTTTTTTTCTCTGCATCCACTCGAATCTGTCACATTTGTCCTTGATTCATTTTAGATTTAGACTTTTTTATTGTGAATTTTATTGTGAATCCCACAATTCTCTCCCCTTTCTGAATGGGGCATACTTGGCTATCGACAACACAAAAAAATGTAAATCGCAGTTCTCTTGAAGGATATCCAAAGTCAAAGAACAATCGCATAGAAGCTTGGGGTATCGTTCTGACATGTCTTCAATGCAGCTCAAACAATTAAAAAAATGTTCAAAAATAGCTGGAGGTTAGTGCTGTCCTTGCGTATCAACTCTAAAAAATAATTGCCACCTCTTGTAATTGAACAAGAAAAATTGAGCAAACAGTAGTCAATGAATGTCGTCGATCGCTACAGGCTGAGTACAAGAGCTACACTATTAAATGTAAATCGTTTCGAAATTTTTCACAAAAGAAAACGCTTCTTACATTAGTCATCGATCATATCAGTTGGAGAAAGGATCATTTGGTATGATAAGAATCTCTTCGAATCGCTCAATCGAGAAAATTAAAAACTACTGCAATGAACTGCTGGCGCAAGGGAAAACACATTCAGTTTCCTTCAATGTACATAGAAGGATGGTAACTCTGTCGGCATATAGGGAGTCACAGCAAATCATGAGAGTGACCCTGGTTTACTACGTAGAACGATGCAACGGTCCTGTTAATATTCAGGTCATCGGCGATCTTCTACCGACCTTCTTTGAAAAGAAATTTTGTTCAAAACGTAACGGGTGAATGCTCATATTTGTAGTCTGAGCGAGCCAGTCTTGTCTTCTGATCCCTATCCCATTGAGAACCTTTTAGATTAGACTGGTGGAAGACTCAAGAAATATGTGGCCAAAAAGTTTGATTGATTTGAAAAACATAATCGAGCAAGTTGGATCAGAATTTCATCTAGAAACAT